TTTAGTACTCATAGATACCTGAAGGAAGTGCATATTTTAGTCTTAATGGGAATTCCATGCATTCAGAGAACAAAATCAGCACCTTGCTAAATTTAAGGGGATGAGAATTTTCACTGAAGTTCATACACTCTGCATGTTCAGGATCATTCTCTCTCATCTCTCTGCTGAAGAAAACCACCTTCTACAAGTGCTTTTTTATCAGATATTGTTTTAACATTTTCAGTACAGCACGACCTTAACAGCTGAGGAGGATCCACTATGAAAACCAGCTTGTTTTGGGTTTTGAATATTTCTGGAATCAAGATGCTTAAATTACTTCTTTTTCTTCTTTTTAAATTTTTAACCTTTAGACATGATCAAACAAAGGTCAGTTTTTGCAAAACTTCTGATGCTGAAAGCAAGGTATGAAACATCCACATATATTTATCTCTTTCTATAAATCCACACCTACCAATTGAATACACTGCCATATTTTTAATGTTTAGCTACCTGGCATGAATAGATGTTAATGTTGACTATGATTTATGTTAAGTTACATACGTTAAGTATGATTTTTTAGCTGCCATTAGGTGGAAGTTTATACAGAAAAACACTATATCACTTCTGTGACCACCAGCTGACACCAGTACGTTTCTGGGACATAATCACTTCAGCTCTCTGGAGAAAGATCAGTGAGCAAATAATAAGAGAATCCTGCAATAAACAGACAAGGCGAGACAGTGACTACACACAGGAGACCAAATTGCACCTCTGATGAATACTGTACCTTATCCAGATACCTGGTGAGAACAGAGTTATCTTTACCACTCCTGGTCATGTATCTTCCTGAGAAACTCGGGAACATTATTTTAAAACATAATTCTGTTAATTTTGGATTATAAGGATACTACCTGTGCTCTCCATCTCTCTTATGCAGCCACCCTAATAACTTTGGGCTGTAAGAGCATGCTCTACATCTTAACTGCCTGCCTGATTGCATCATGCACTTGATCTCAGCTCTAAATTCATGCTGAGGTAAGTGTGCTTTTACAAAAGTTCTTCCTCGAGGGAGTCGCTGAGAAGCAGTGTGGTGTCATCATTACCTTGCCATTCTCTCATCTCAGTGTCGAGATTTGCAAGCTGAGATTACAGCTGAGACAAGCTGACAAGTTTTATTCCATGCATTTAATGGAAAGGTGATTCAGAGGTGATATTAATGACAGTCATCTGTGTCAAGGCTTCAAATGTCAGGTCCTCCCATAGAAAAAAAAACCCCACAACTAAATAAGCCATCAGAAAAGCAATGAGGAAGGAAGCCCAGAGGCTTTGTCCACCTTTGCGAGTTTGATGCAGCATCTGTGCTAGGACTGTCTTTGGAGTGGTTATGGATAAGACTACAACCACAGGAAAGAATAAATAAAATTGGTGGAGCTATGCAAAACAGTATCACCCGGTGACTGGAAGCCATGACTGAGGTTAGCATTTCTAAGCCAGAATCTCACTGCTATTACAGGCAGTGTAGTACCACAGGTCACATCTTGGACAATGGCAAGCATTGACTCCAGCAGCAACTGCTGTTAGCAAAAGGGAAAAAGCTAGTGCTATCAAAAAGACTATCAGAAAATACCTACTAGCTAGCTAAAGATGACAAATTTAGGGTTTATATACCAAAAAATACATTCTGCAATAATGAAAAACATAAAACAGCACTCAAGTTTCCAAAATATTTCCCAGTGCTATGATGCTTCTCATCTGTTAAGAGCTATAAACTATAAAATGAAAGTATTAGTTTCATTAATGCAGAAGCATGAACAGGTACTAATGAACACAATGCCCTTTTTCAGCCAAAAGTTTATATGTTTGCTATTAAACTGCTTACATCACACTATTTAGGCACAGTATTGTTAGTATTCTTTCTGTTTAGAAAGGAAATTATTGTGATAAATGTAACAACTGACAGTGGTAACTGTTCAGTTAGTCATTTATCTGGTGACTGCATGGCAAGACAGCTTCAGTTTGATGTCAGGTGTACCATTTAGAAGAAAGTATTTATCTTTTAGTTTACTGTGGTCATCAAATACTACAATATTTCATGACAAAAGTCTACTGTGTCACTCTCCTGTGGCAACACTCTGCACTCAGCATTTTCAGGACAGAAAATGAATTATCAAAAGAACAGTGCACCACTACATAAAGATATGGACATTAGAATTCAATATTGCACTGTGAATCAAAACAGATACTATTATGAACATACTTAGCTGGGAATATGACTGGTCCTAACTCTAAGATATTCGAAACTGAGAGAGGCTCAATGAATTTGTATACAATCAGAAGGCAAGTGGTTTTGATGCTGTCGAAAATAATTCTTGTCCTCAGTTCCTTCTCATTAAATTGTCAATTGTCTGAACTTCTTATCCCCATGATTCTACATGAAAATTAATAGGAATTTTGTAACAACGTGGAGGGTGATTCCTTTATATTTTTACATTTACTGCACCAAAAATACAACACATCAAAATTAGCATCTTCACTTTTTTTTTTTTTGAATGCAAAAGTTCAGCAGCATTTGCTGTTGGAGTCTTACTGAAGAAACAGCATTTCATCTTACAGTAATATCAAGACAAACTTGGATAGCTCCTTCTAAGTTTTTAAAATCATAATGCAGGATTTTGGCTGTCACATTCGACTCCATGTATAACATATACATTCCTACACATTACTTTCATCGATGAGAACATGTACATCACACGAACTGGCTATTTTCTCTTCTCCAAATAGAGAGTAAAGACATGCTTTTTAGTGAATTTATTTTAGAAAGAGAATCAGAAGTGTGTGTTATGACTTGCTGCCAAGCAAGTTAGATATTTGTGTTTGAATCTAGATGAAACTACAGTACTTAACTAAATTTACTAGGCACAAGTACATGAAATCCAATATTGATAATAATTTATGAAGGCAAGAATACCGATTCCTATAATACTGCAAACTTAGTTTATGATAACATAATTAGTTACACTAATAACACTGCTTAGGCACAGTCTTGCTAATTATGATATTATAAATATTAATGATATCAAGCCTTTGTATTTGATTGCCCCTAGTAGGATCATTTATCATGGTATTTCCTTTTATCCGTGTTGTATTATTTTTCTTCCTTTTCCCTTGAATGTTCATTCCTGGACAAACAGCCATCCTGAGTTTATGTCTAAAATATATCACAACTTTATCAATGATGTAGCCTGCTTAACTTTATATGTTATTATTTAGTAGCAATGATCCAAAGATATAATTCAGTGCTAAGGGCAATCAAATACACAATCAGTTATATTCTGTGTGCCTTGTTCCTTTTAAATGTTTAACAGACAGCCAGACAAGATTACATAGGGCTTTGTTTTTCTTTTTTTTTTGTGTGACCTGTTTCAAGTTCAGATTCTTTTGAATTATTAAACGCTTCCTTAAAGTATATTTTCACGCTACCTTTTTAAAGTTAATTATTGATGTAGTGATAAGCAGAAAAGACTAAGAATTTTTTTTTCTTATTCAAAAGGACATGAGAAACATTTTTGACAATGGTTGTCTGGTTAGTAAAATACAAAGGCAAAACAAAGATAGAACTCTGCAGCTTTAAAGAAGAATTACAACAAATCTCTGTTACATGAGTTGGAAATGCTATGTATGTTTCTACAGGTGTTAAAGGAAGGAAGTTTAGATATAACCCTTTGAGCCTGGTTTAACTGCTTAACATAAGTAGATGAAAATGAAACTGCTTATATCTTGTTTTATTTTTAAGCAGCGTATTATCCAGAGCTTTAGGAATAGGATTGTCTTTTCTCCTGGAAGGTAATGTTATAATTTTCAGAGCTCCACAGAGAACAACAACAATATAGGAGTCTCTAATCTCCTGCTAAATCCAACTCCAGTCATCAGCAACGATAAGCAGAGATTTGGAGGCGTTTGACACTCCAAATCCTATTGTTTTGTAATTCTTTACTTTTTACACTATTTTCAACAGTGTTATATCAGATTTTGGAAGGATCATCAATAGGCATGATGTGTAACTGAAATCAGTCTTCAAAGTGATCCCCTCTAGTAACCAGAAACAAAAGCTCAGCTTCCCTGCTGTGCAGGTATTTTGCTTAGAGCAGTAGGCAGCAGGGCAACAGTAGGAAGCCAGTTACACCTCCCTGCTTCTCAGCAAGGATCAGCCAGTGCCCTGGTGGAAGGGTGAGCAGTACTGGGGAAGCTGCAACCCGCTGCATCTAGCAAAAATCTCCAAAGACACTTTTGTAGCAGGGAACTACTAGAGCAGAGAGGAAACAGTCCAGAGGTTAGGATTTCAGAGAGACTATAGTTTACATTCCTATTCCACCACAGACTTTCCAGGTTTAAAGAATCTTGTGGAATCTTTTAAATTATTTGGTGTCACTGTTCCTCAGTGGAACTTCCCTGCCTTGCAGAGGGTTTAGGAGTCAGTACACATTAAAGATCATGAGATGCTCAGGTATGATGATCAAAGGGCCACCCCTACCTGATCTACTGTTCCAGCTAACAGCTGGTTTGTGACAAGCTGTCTCAGCTGCTCAGGTCCAGTGCTAGGGAGCTTTCATGTCTCCTGAATGTTGCACCGTGTCTGGAACATCCAGGAACTTCTGGCACAATATTAGTATCAATCTCAATCAAGTTGAGTTTCATACAAACAAGCAGTTCCAGAACTTGTTCCAATGTGTTTGTAATTTTACATCCTACACTTTTTTCAAAGACATGATGTTATGAATCAAGTGGAGAGACTGTATTTATAGTAAAAATGTTATCCCATATCAAGAAATTTCAAGTTTGTTTTCTTAAGCTGCCTTCAGATATTTGTTAATACTCATAAGGAAAAAGGCTTGGTGACTAATTGTGACAGCAGCAGTGGTTTGCCAAGGTAGAGTAGCAGAAACTGCATACAATGATTATGGAATTGCATTCAAAGCCAAGACATAGTGTCATTATACAGGAATGGCAATGAAACAACATACCTTTCCCATCAGATCAGGAATTCTAGGTACTGGTTTTCCTTTCTGATGGCGCACAGTTGCAGGACTCTGTCCATTCCAGTCTCCAAGTTCCTCAATGCTTTTCAGGTAAAGAAGCGCTTGCAGTCCAGTGCAGTAGTCATCAATAACAGTGAAATCTTGATTTTGGATCGCACTGCACACCTATGAAATGTAAGTCCGTTATCAGAAGCATCGTGGCAGAGGAGCATATGGAATTGGCAAGCTCTTTGGACTTACTGATTATCAGATGACCCTTCCTGCAAATTCACTGGCAAAGAACTAGAAGAATTTAGTATATTAATTGGCTGCTTAATCCTATGTCATGATACCATCACTGCAGTTCAGGACAAAAAGGACTCAATAACACTAGTTATGCCGAAGTTTCCTAACAGCAGCCTTTAGACCAGACCTGAAAGCTGTTCAGAAGTCAGCCCAGCCCCAAATGTGCTCCCTTGCAGCTTTTTCTTATATTTAAACAGAATTTCCTGTGTTCCAGTTTGTGCCCACTGCCTCTTGTCCTTTCACTGGTTACCCCTGAGAAGACTCTGGCTCCAATGAAAGTGTCTCAGCAAACAGCACCCATTAAGCTGACCCGTTAGCATGGATGAGCATTGCCAGGCACAGAACAGAATGGTCCCTTTCTGCTAATTACCATTCAGTGGTACTAGGAGGCCAGGGCACTTTATTTTAGATACTTTAGAAACACAGAGAGCAATATAGCTTTATAAACATATAAAGCAATGATCCCTGACTTGCAGAGCCTAACATGTAAACATAAAACTACTGACAGCAGAGAATAGTCTATCCATTTACGTGGATTCTTCTGGACCACTTTGTGGATAACAACTCAGATTTAAACCTACAGAGATCCCCCAACCAAAATGATAAGTGAAGAAAAAATCCCTGACTCTTCTCTGAACACCTTCTCATGAGCTAAACTCTAATCATCCATCAGTGACGAGGTACAGAGTTGGTTAAGTACCATTAATTGTCAGTCCCTGGAAATGCTCTGAAATTCCAGATGTGTCAGTGTTTTCAGCCTCTGATTCAGCTTTTATTCTAAAAGCTAAAAAGAATGCTCCTGTTAGTACCTACGCTTACGTACACACATAATGAACACAAAATGAAATAGCCACCCATTTTAGAACATAAAATGTGTGCACGTGTGCAAACACATCCACACTCCTTGGACATGAAAACACACCTTGGATCATAATTGACATCGACATTTAAAAAATACAGGAAATATATAATTGTTTTTCACATTTCGGAAATGATAATACAACTTGCAATTCTGAAGGCAGGTACACATCACATTGTAAAATACCATATGTAGAAGGAAAAAATAAGAGCAAACTATAAAATAAGCAAAAGAACACTTTCTATGCAGCGCATTTACATTATACAGAATCTGTTTCTCTGGAGAAACAGTGTGGACATTAATTAGGTCTGTTACACCTTCCATAGACTTCGAGATTTTTTTTTTTTCCCCAGAGTAATTATGAAAAGCATCCTAATAATTTCCTGTACAGCTCATTTAACTGCAAAATTCAACTGATGGTTATTTAAACCTTTTTGTTCACCAAGGCATTCTCTATTTTTTTTAGTGCATAACACTTTTACTATCTATTCTTAAAAATACTAAAACTGTAAAAAATACAGTTAAAAGCCATGTCATGTCACTTGAAACAAGTTCAAGCACCGTTGTCAAAATCCTGAAATATTTTGACAGAACGTATACACGAGATACACTGGAGGATACCTGTAATAACCTTATAAATAAAGAGGCTTTTACTGCTTTCCATCTTGTGGTGCAGTGTTATGAACTGCAATAATATAAAAATGTGCAGAAGATGATATCACACTAAAAGCTAACATTTGATCCTGCGAGTCTATGTGCAGTGCTCTGTTTGCCTTTCCTGGAAAGCCAAGCAGATTCCAGAACCGAAGGCAAAATGCAATATTTTAAGAAAAATGTAAATCTCTCCACTAAAGAAAAATGTTATCTGAAATGGAAGGACGTAGAATTAGCAAGTGGTTTCAGATGATCCTCCTCTTCTGTAGAAGCCTTATGACTACGGTGCCCAACAGTGCAGATAATTAACCAAAGACATGCCTTTTACTGATTTCACTGTGATAAAAGCAAGTGCTTATGTTTAAAGGCCTTTTCTAGAACAAGAGAGATCAAACATTAACACATACAAAACCAAAAGAAATAGTTTTACCATGTTTTTGGCAAATTCTAAAACATTCTAAACTTCGAAATTTATGTTGCACGTATCAGATGGTGAGACTTATGTTTTAGGCTTAACAGTATCTACCATGAATCAATGTTGAAGCTTTTGCTGCATTTTAAAAGGTAGTGAACAAAGTCAAGATAAAAGGTTTCCCTGACTCATCAGCTATGACAGTTTCTACACCACAGAGAAAGGTTTTTAGCATCATACCTGGCTGCCTCTGAATCACCAGTTTAAATGACACTGTGCCCTCTTTTCAGCACAGGAGAAGTGGAAGGGCAATAGACCAGGTGAGACTCAAACTCATGCATTTGGAAAAATTGAAGAACAACTGAACCGACCCGTCTCCACACATCATTAATGCCCCTGCTTTGCTCCTGCTGCTTGCGCTGAGCAACAGGCATGCTTCTCCTCCCTCGCAAAGCTAAATGTTGAGCCCCATCTTCTGCTGGTATCTTATGTTATGGCTGTGAAGAGAAGGAAAAGCAGTCCAGTTACGGCCATATTTAAAATGGAACCACCTTGTGGTTGCTATCACTTTGCATTTAATGTCTTAAACCACCTCAACAGGAGATAAACGTGAGGAGGGTGCTGCTGCTGTCCATGCCTTGCACACTGATCAGAGCAGCAGCATGAAACTGAATTGCACCCAGCCCTGCCCACTCAGCTCCTCTCCCCAGCATCATGCTTTTACCAACCAAACATAGCAAAATGTGCTTCCCTTTAGACTCTGAAGCAAACGCCTGAACAAAAATGTAACTTCACGACTGAGAACATACATGTGGTCACATTGTGGCAGACCAGCAGTCTATCCTGTGGCCGACAGAAGCTGCTTATGGATGAGTATAAGGAACGGAGCAAGTGTGGATCAGTTGCTCGCATGGTTTATCAGCCCAGGTTCTGGCAAGCAGTAGGGTTGGACTTTGCATGGCAGAAATGGCACCTGTTTAATATCCCTTCATACTAAACAATCGAGTGAATCTGTTTTATGAGTAAATTAACATTCATCGACCCAGGCTTTCACACGAAACATTTAGGTAGAAAGTAGATTATTTTTTTCTTTGGCAGACCAGAGACAGGCCCTGTGAGCAACCTACAGGACAGAGTGAGGTCCAGATCACAATGAAGCTGTTAGTTCTCCTGCTGACAAGTGCTGTCCTGCTGTCTTGCTTTTGATTGTCTCTAGCTTTAGACTAGAACTTGGGCTAGAAGAGAAAGGTGTTACATTTTTCTTGCTTAGAAAGGTAACCTATATTATTCATATAATAAATAATAATAATATACATAATAATACTATACAGGGAGATAATTTCACATGAGCTTGGTTTTACTGCATTGCCTGCAGGTTTTACTGCCTTGGCAGTAGAACTGCTACCATTTCATTTTTAACATCTGACCTCCTCCCTTTTCCCCCAGATCCAGACTCCAACGATTGCCCCTTACATCCCAAAAGAGACAAGCAGGCCAACATTCTATATGTGATCAATTATATTGTGCTTTTGATACTCCGAAATCTAAAACCGTTCAGTATAAGTTACAACCATAGGTTACAATTCTAATCTATACAGACATGTCTGAGATACTAAAAGACACAATGCCTGCTTTGCTGCTGGTAAATCAAACACACACCAAATGATCTCACTAGAGAATGGGGATGTGAAATGAATCACAGGCTAAGGCTCTAAGTAAAACAGTTCTGCAAAATGCGATGATGGGAGAGGTATGCAAAGGTCCCTGCTGATGTCTTGCATAAGAAATGACTTGTCTGCTCTATTCCTAAATAAACATAAATACTGAGCCTAACTTTGTCAAAGGATCCAGAGCCATTACAAATCTTACTTGAGGAACTGGAGTCAATTGTCAGGAGATTATTATTGTGTAAAATGAATTTTACGGGTTACATGATTGTTAGTAATCATTCACATCAATCTGAAACTTTTAATTTACATATTTTGAAGAAAAAGTTCATTATTGGTGACAGGTACTACCACATTAGTTATAAAACATTGTAAATGCCTTTGCTTTCAAGAGAATCATTATACAACAAAGAGATGCTGATTTCTGAAGTCTTTACTGAGGCAGATCCCCTGCACCATTTACGGAGAGCTCTGTCTGTGTAAGACCTTTTAGGTTTTGTCCATAGTCTATGTTTCTAGGAGCAACATAAAGATTGCAAAAAACCCCATTGTTTTGCTCTCTACAAAAATAGATGTGGTTCCTGTCCAAGCTTTGGCATATCCTGGAGGTCTATGTGGAAGACCTGTGCCATCCATGCAGAACCTGGACAAACTGGCTGAGGCGTTTCCAGCCAGATCACCCACTAAAGCAATTCCTATTCAGTGCTGTCATTGCATTTTCCTACTGGGAGATGTTGCAGAGAAGAAAACATTTTCTGTAACACTAAAAAGTGGAAATGATGCACTCCTCTTCAGGTATTGCTCTGTCCACTCTCTCTTAAGCCACAATCTTCAGTTTTTACCTGAACTCATTATTATGTGATGAAATCCAAGCTGGACAGGTGATGGTGGGGAAGATGGTGCTGAAAATGGACCCCAGTCCCCATCTGCATTCTTTCTATTCAATCAATAGCAGGGATTTCAGCAGAGGAGACACAGATCTAGACACATTTGTATCAGTTCATCCTTACACTACTCTATATACTACTCATATACTGCTAGTTGACTGCAAAAGGCTGGAGCAGGTCAGAGAATCTAGTCTGTTTGATAACGTGCTGCTTTGCAAGAAGTGTTAAGTATTCTTGGTGTGACTAGATCTGTGAGAACAAGAACACTGCAACGTCTGGCAGCAGTCATACTCCTATTCAAAATTGCCTGCAAGCACTATTAAAACCCTTTGCCAACAATGAATTTGTGGTAGGAAACAATAGCTTGGAAAAAATTCTAATTTTTACACCCTTCTGAAAGA